AAAAAAATTATTTGGCATATAACAAGCTCAAGATAATTTTTACAAATTAAAATTTAAACTATTTTTTAATTTCTAAATCATGCCATGACTAAAACTTATTACCTTTTTTTAATATTTAAAAAATAAAAAGCTGTTTCAAAATAAAAAATTATATGCTTAAAAATGACCCATGAAAAACATGAATCGTTTGCAGTAAGAAAACAAATATTGCAAGAACAAGAATTTATCTTTGCTACACAAACTATCAAATCAAATGAATTCCTCTCGGTGAATGAGGAAAAAAATCTCATAGCAAACATTTTTCCTTGCGTTCCATGTTACAGCGTGCTGACAAAAAATAATTTAAACAAATTTCAATATCGGACTAAGTGTCTATATCAGCTCACTTTAGTTTCAGAGCAGAACTTTGTGAGGAACTACGATACGAACAGAGTAGACTTGGCAATGTCAAAAAGCAAAACACATACTGTGAAAGGAAAAATCATAACCAAAAAAAGTTTGCATTAGGTTATGTGTGAATACTATTGGAGGTACTTTGTATCCTTTAGACTCATTATAAAATATTTATTTATAATTTTTAAATGTAATATTTTCAGAGCCATTTTTTAAAATAAAGAAACAAAAATCCATCCTTTTTTATGCTTTTATTTAGACTAGTCACTATTTGTATTAAAAGCATTTTCACTAAATAGAAAATATAGATCTTACAATACCGATAGGTCCATATTAAAAAAAAAAACGATTTAAAGCCTCGGTTTATAGAATTAACATTTTCCACATTGTTAAAATTTATGTTTATGACAATTTTGACAATAATTAGTGTTTTAACAAAAAGTTAGCAAAACAAGTTAACATTTAGCATACAAACATACACGCCAACCTGTGGGATAAAAAAGAAAACCACAAAAAGTTTTTAAAAAAACTACAACAGCACAAGAACCGTATGAAAAAAAAAAGAAGTTGAAAAAGTATAACTTACAACTTTTTCATAATTTATTTTATCTATGTTTGGAATTCATGAATAAAAAATGACATTTGATTCTAGTCAAATTTTGAATTTACACTGGTCAATAGCAAATTTTTATTAAAACATGTACTCAGATGATGAATTTGCAATCAGTTTAAATGTCATCAGACCTAGTATACCATGACAAATCTCCTCCCTACGAAAAGAATATAATGTAATAGAGCATGCAATTCTCAATGATTTTCGGCTCTTGGTAACGTTTATTTAAACAACGAAGAAGATCACATCAGCTTTTAGTTTTTTAAATTGTTTACATGCTATATAAAGCCAAGACATAGTAATATATAGGAATAATGACTAATGCTAGTCTCTGAGGGCAGTTCTAATATTAAATTTATTTAATTATTTAACAAAACTTAAAAGAACACTTACTAACAAGGCAGTTCTTGTTAAGAATTTCTTTTCTAAATCCTGTGAAAAGCATGCAAAAGCCTGTATGGCCGTACAACTAGGCAAACATTTAAAGAACGTACAAAGTAAACAGCACAGGATGGCATGCATGCATACAAGACAAGTTATTGGTGGGGATTGATGTATGACGTCATGTGTTTGATGTAAAAAGAAACAAGCGAAACTAAGTATGGGAAAACTTGAAAAAAAGACGCAACAAAACAACAAACGTTTTGGCAAGATGCCATCTTTAGAGAACAAACAATAAAAACAATATAAAAATAAAACACTTAGCTGCAGTGTAGTATCAGAGTATTTTTATGTAAAAGATAAAGCGATGCAGAATGGAATAACTGTACATTTTGACTTATACAAAAGAGAAGAAAAAAAATTAAATTAAAAAAATGGCTAATGAAGGTTAATGAAGTTGATTGCATTTTTAAACACTAAAATAGTGTTGGATTATTTTTTAAATATTTTCTAAAAATCCTATGTCCAAAAATGTATTATGAAGATGCTTCTTTGTATTTTCTATATTTTTTAAATGAAAGAATTACAAGGATTAGAAACTTTCAATAGAGTAAAAGATATTATCAGATATAAAAAAAACAAACAAACAAATAAACTTTGATAAATTAGCTTAGTTTTACGTTCAAACCATTCATATTTTCCTATAAATTAAATCCCATAAAAAATTGCTATCTTTAAAAAAAAAAAAAAAAAAAAAAAAAAAAAAAAAACAAACAAACAAATAAACTTTGATAAATTAGCTTAGTTTTACGTTCAAACCATTCATATTTTCCTATAAATTAAATCCCAAAAAAAATTGCTATCTTTAAAAAAAAAAAAAAAAAGGAGTAAATTTTGAATGATAGGATCTCTATTATAAAATCTATATATTTTTATTTCCATAGAATTTAATAGAATTAAGAGATCAGAGCATACAAATTTAATGTGTGACAGAGCAAAGATGAATAACATAAGCACTGAAAATATTTAATCCCTATAGGCCTACTCCGGTAATCTTAGCACAGTGCATAGACAGGATGGCTAGTGCAATAATATGATTTCTTTATCATTTATTTGATTTTTTTAGTCTCCTATTGTACGCATTACTGAGTATTATCATCTATCATAAAATATGAGACATCAATACTGTAACTAATAAAAAAACTTGTAATTGGCTCCATTTAAACTTCAGTATGTTGATAGTCTTAATTTATTTCATTTTTCATCCACCTTTAATCGTTATGTTTTCTATCATATTTTTAAAAATGATGATTGAATGCTAAAGTTCATTTTTATTCAACAAAATGGTTTAAGTAGTTTTCTGTCTTTATCAGACATAACTTTTCGTTTCATTTTAACAAAGCTTTTTAAAAAAAAATATTTTAAAGCACATTAATTTATCTTTTTTTCATTGACTCTTTCTAAGTTGCCACCTGTTAAGATTATAAATAAGAAGGCAAGAAATTACTTATTTTCACAAAGACCCATCATTTTAAAATGTCAATAAAAGTTAAAAGAAATGATGTCTCTAATAAGAATGTAATTAATGCTACTTTGCAGACTTGACTTGTGAAACATAAATGTAGAATAAAACTTTCCACAAGCAACAGTTTATAACTTCACACATTGATCAAACAGATTGAGATGAGATGTCAAGAAATACAGAATTCATAGTTTCCTCTTTGCTGTCAGGTGAGGGGGTAAGTTAATACACTGACGTACAAAATTTAAAAACAACAAACCACCACTAGCACCAGGATTAAATCATATATATTATACTTTAAATGGATCTGCGTAGTGCACATTTCTATAAAAAAAATATTTATGAAGTCATTAGCATTATAAAATGTGCCATGTACAATGTTACTTAAATCAGCTATTTTTTATAACCACTGGCCACAGGTTTAGCGTTATATATTCTTAGCATAATAAAGTGCAACTTAGGGGAAAAAGCCCCTATAATAAAAAAATTAATTAATTAATTTAACTGAAAGATTATAGTTAAAAGGCAGTAAGCAAACGGATTAAGTTAGGACTATTAAAGCTTTATGAACAGTAACAAACAAAATGATCAATCAACATAGTGCAGTTAAAGATTAATGATCTACTTCACCAACGGTACTTTAAATTGCATTATGTCAGTGGGCATAATATACCATAAAAGGACAAAAATCTCAGTTAACTTAAAAAAAAAAAAGCTTTAGTAATTTGCCAGTTCATTGCCACCCCAGTGCAGTAGTTTATGATTATGAGTTAAGACTGGGTAACATTCTCATTTTGTTTATTGGTATTATTAAAAAGCATTATGCACAGTAACAAACAAAATGATCAATCAACATAGTGCAGTTAAAGATTAATGATTTTCTTCACAAACGGTATCTTAAATTGAAATATGTCAGTGGGCATAATATACCATAAAAGGACAAAAATCTCAGTTAACTTAAAAAAAAAAAAGCTTTAGTAATTTGCCAGTTCATTGCCACCCCAGTGCAGTAGTTTATGAGTATGAGTTAAGACTGGGTAACATTCTCAGTTTGTTTATTGGTATTATTAACATAGGGTTAGATTCCAATGTTTCTGATTTGTATTTGACACAAGTTGAGTGTGCTGAGAAAATGTCCACATCATCGGTTGACTTCTATAAGGGTTAGGCCTCCATAGTTTATTAAAGACAGAACTTGTGTTTTGAAAGAATTGATCTTATTCCAACACATACAAATCAAAATACTGTGACTGCCTGCTCTTTACTTTGAGACTTTATAGTCTGCAATATATTCAAACACTACTTTCCATTAGTAGTTTCCATTAACCTCTGACTAAAAAAATATGAAAACAAAATCTAGTGTAATGACTCAATGATTCTTTTAAGAACTAAAAATAATAATAATAATATCACTAATGATAATAATGCATAGTAAAGTTGAACAAAATTATTAGCTTTTCATGTGCTGTACTGCATGAATTTGAGTTACTCGTGGACTATTTACAGAAAACATCATAAATAGAACACAAATATGTTATAATAATAGCATGGGCATTCAAACGTTAACAGATTATGTATTACACTGATAGTAGTTCTCATCAGAAAATTCACCCTAGAGTAAAAAAAATAGTATGTATGACAAAGCTACTCATATGGGTATTGTACATGTTCCTTTAGACAGTGCACATAGCTGGGTTCATTAAAGTCTGGGAGCAAACAAACACAAAGAACTTAATAACTGGCGTTATGGAGAAATGTCGTATGTACACAATATTACCAACATAGGTAACAGTGGCTAGGTATGTTAAAATTGGATTGGAGCTAAAAATGCATTTGTTTTGCTAAAAGAAACTTAAAAAAAAAAAAATCTCTTGGTAAAAAATCAAACAAGAAATCCCATGGTAAACCACTGTGCACACTACAAACTTGCTTTCCACTTTTTGAGAATCAAGAGCATTCGTATCTAGATAATTATTGACTGAAAAGGGGATGGTTACTTTACCAATGCAATATGATCTATCCTTGGAACTGGCGGACTTTAAACAGTGATAGAGTGCATGATAGGTTTCAATAATTTTGTTGGTCTTTAAACCCACAAGACTTTTATAAGATGGACAAACGCTATCCATGTTTCTCCTCAAGGGGATGGTACTGCACTATAGAAAGACTTTTTATGAAGCTAATTGAGATAAGGCAGTTTAAAGAGTTTTTTTAATATTATTTGTTTTTTTTTGAATTTGTAGCTAGTAAGTAAAAAAAAAAACATTAAAAGTTTAAATGAAGTAAAAAGTTAGAGAATATTGGATTTAAGTAAAACTAACCCATGCCGTACGTGAACTGAACAAACTGCAGTGAATAAATGCTATGCTACATAATGATATATAATTTGCATGTACATGCAGTCTTTATAAGTTGAAGGTAGAAGCAGTTTAATACAATTACTAGGACACGTTGCAGATGCATAAATCACATAAAGTTGGTGTAGTGTAAAGCTATTATAAAATACTGATCATAAAATATCATCTGATGCCAAGTATTGACATGTAGATTACACCGTGTTCATCCAATCAAATGTTCCTTAATGATAGTTCCTGGTGATCAATGCAAATGTACATTTCAAGATGCTTTGTTGTCTCTAATAATAATTAAAATAATACTATAATGAGATATACATACATGCCAAGTGATGCAGTTTATCCATACTTTTGTAACTAGTTCCAGTGTTGTCAGATTTGTATGTTCTGTACAGAATTCTGTAACTATTTCTCAAGGTTAAAATAACAATTAAAAAAAAAGCAAATATCTATCATGTGGCCAATGTGGCAGGGTCAAAATAAATCTTTTACAAAGCTTTTAAGTAGTGTTGGTCTTTTTCAAAATGACAGCAGGCGCGGACAATAAATTTAATAAGGCTAAAAACAGCAATCAAGTTTGGGGTTCATAAAACAGATCTTTATCTAAATGATATTAAATAATGACCAGTTACGTGCAGATCAATCAAATGGTAAATCAATAGAAATAGTTTTAGGTTTTTTGCAAATCACCCAATAAAATGAGATACTTCTAGTAAAAATAAATTTTAATAGAGCCCCCCCTCTATTTCCATTTGATTAAAAACCCCAACTAAATATTGTGATGAAGAGCAACTTGAACACTCTACCAAAACGATGAAATAAAAATGTTGATGGGCCAAAAAATTGCACAAATTTTAAGGTAATTATAGGAGTTATTTACACTTCAGTATCATAACAACAATGGAAACACTGCAGCCTATTCTTCTTTAGTTTACTAATCTGCTCAAAGTAATGTTGCTGGTTATAAAGTTCAATGAGAATGTGGATAAGTAGTCATGTCTTGCAATGTCTGGAACATTGAGTTTCAGTATCAATCTCAACAGACACATCGGTCACTTTCAACAATGTATTTATTAATAAAGGATAACTTTTTGAAAAGTTGATAGAAAATTGAGCTTGACAACACAGGATCCCTGCTTAAATATAAGGGCAATAACAATGCAAAATGTTATCCAAAGCTGTGACATTTGAATACATTTCATTTGTGTAATTCCCAGTTGGTGATCATATTATTATTATTATCATCATTAAAGTGGTCTTATACAGCGCAGTACCCTAGCCCAGACTCACCGCGCTTCACAAAAAAATTAAAATAAATTCTTCCCCTAAAAACTAAGAAAAAATAAAACTAACAGATGACCACGAAATCTGAACGGCAATGTTATGAGAGTCTAATGACAGTGGAACAATGCTTTAAATAGCATGTATTCAATGATGGCTTAAAAGCGCTTAAATTTATTGTTTAAAAAAAAAAACAACAACAGTAGCAGCTGTCATTCCACATCCCTGTAAGACATAAAGTTTTGTTCAGGTAAATCACAGCCAACATCACTGTATCAAGGCAGCTCCTCCAAATAACATATGAAATAAACACAAACAGATCCATGGTTTTCGGCAAGATCTCTAGTTACACAGGATTTTGGTGAACAATTTAACCAACACGCTAGATGTCGAAATCCCAGTCCTCGAATGATCACAAACTGAGGAGGTCATCGACTGACATGGTGCGGGAGAATGCCTCGAAACATGCAGAGCCTGCCATGTACTTCTTTACCCCATCATCCAGCTCTTCTTCATTCAAGTCTGTACCAAACGACGGCATCTGCTTACAACGATTCTCTGCCAATCTGTAATATGAATTAGAAACATAAAACTGTTACTTCTCGACGATGAATACTTGGGGAGAAGGTCATCGACCTTTGTGTTTCACATTTAATTTTTATTTAAAACATATGCAAGGGGGAAAAATGTATAATCCGATGCAATAATGCTTGCCTCATTTACCTTGAAAACATGTCATCAATATTATCGTTGTCTGAATCATCAAAACTTTGCTGGGGAAACAATTAAAAAAATATTTTACAAGCTTGTTTATACTGGTACAAAATAAAAGGATAATTAATTATATAATTTTAATATGTTTCAGAAATATTTTAAATAAACCCTGAAGGGCAACTACTTGTCACAACTGATGTTCTCACCTATTATATTCAAAATGGTGGATTCTATGTAAAAGTGGACACAACATCCAAAAATTAAATTCCATAAAATTTGGTGCCATATAAATTATTTCATGCATCTTGGTATGGAGTCATTTTTAGTATCTTTGTTTTGTGTGACACGTGGCCTGTGGCCATCTTGAATTAAGAACATGTCTTCAAATTTAAAATAGAAACTTTGTGTTGAATTTTCTTGTGTTTACATTTAATAAATATAGACAGAAATTTTTTATTGCCATGGTGAGTTTCAATTGGACAAGCATTAAAAATCTGTTATTTATGTTTTTTTAAGTTTATTTAACTGAAGTATTTGTAATTCTGTAAAAGAACTGACATTATTGCTCAATTTTTTATTGCTAGCTTTCAGACCTGTTGCGTCAGTTACAAACTCATGTTCGGTCAGTTACATTATTTTTAAAATGTACTTTCTAAGTAGTTTTTAATGGTTTTCCTTAGAAAAGTAAACACTGTCTAAAATTAGTTTGAATAAATATATTTCAATTAAAGCAGATTTCAGAGAAAATCAAAGAAAAAGATGATAACTAAAATTTAAGTCCTTTTCATGCTTCGTCACTTAAAATTACAAAATGTATTATTTTTACTATTTAGCTTAAAATTAAAATATATTTACAAATGGTATTATTTTATAGCCTACCAACTGAAGATACAAAACCATGTAGACTCTATAGTTAAATTAAGCACACTTAACGGCATTTTGCATTTATACAGGGTGCAAAGTGAAAATATTTTTTTGGAATTTGTTACTTACCATGGAATTCACTGGCTATGTTTATCATATTTTACTGATAGCAAGTTTACTTTGATGTAAAAGGGTTAGATGGAAAAAATGTTCCAATCAACTGAAGTAAGCAAAGGTATAGAGCATGCTGCTTGTGTTCATGTTTAACAAACACACAGAATGACATTTTAAATAAATGTCTTAAGGAATCTATCACATTGAAAAGGACTTACCCAGTTCTCTCTAGATGTAACATTAAAACTCATTTGCTGCTGAGGTGAACCTATTAAACACACAATTGATAAAAAGTAATTTATAGTTTATAAAAATATTATCATTTAACTGGGACAAGGTCACCACATGTAAGATGGTCCCAGGCATTACTATGTCTGAACATTCTACAAACAATCCCAACCACTTTTGAACAAAAAACTCGATAAAGCACAATAAACAATAAAGAGAGTGGTATGCAGGCAAAAACAGCTTTCAGAAATATAAGTTGGATGGAAAATTGAATAATTTCGCAAAATTTGATGAGGTGACTTGTCAAATACATTTATTTATTTTTTTTTTCTGTTATCCCTTAAGATGCCCTTATGCTGGAATGATTTTTAGGGATTATATAGACCACAGTTGTATAGCAGCTCTTCGAAAGAGTTTATTGGATATGAAATATATGGTTTTCATCTTGCATCATTTTAATTTATAAAAACCTATAGATGCTGTTGCAATCATAAAAATAAAATAAAAAACTGTACCTGATAAGATTTCAGGAGTTGCAGGTGGGGTGGGTGTTGATGATAATGAGATGAGTGTTGCTGTATTATTGCTTCCCACATCTCTGCTCGTTTGCTGATTGACTGCTTTCACCTAGAATAGTAAGTGTACCATAATGATTAACATCAATCCAGCACGGGACAAACAAAATATTTAAAATGATTACCTTTTCAGCTCATAATTACTCCAACGCAGCCAAATATCTCTGTGATTAGAACTTTTTAATTTAAAAAAAATATTTTAGTGCAAATGGTCCAGATAATTTTGTTAATTTCTTGTTTTTTGGATGATTTTATTTTTTGGGGGGTTAATTTTGTTCTCAAAAAATATCTTATTTTTCTCTTTTTTTCCACAGCTTACATCACTGTGTTAAATACTCCTTATTTAAGTCCGTCATAGAACAGACATCACTGTAAGGAGCAATATATCTAAGCATCTTGCCGTAAAAATGTATTTAAAGAACATATCATTTTTAAGTTGTCTGCTAGTGCTGATTGTTGAGCATTGGGGAAGTCAATTTGAATGTCTTTCTAAATCTATTTCACTTCCAGAATCTGGAAAAAATATTTAACATTAAAAAAAGGTTTAAATTTTTTGAATGACAAATGATAAAAGATGTCCCAACCTTATCTTTATTGACAACGGCTCTCATCGACTTATTCTGTCTCTTTGCCTCCCATCTCTCCTCAGCCAGAGAGAAAGCTTGTGATACTGTAAGTGTGACTGCCTGAGCCTGTAAGTGTAAGGTTTATCAAAAGAATTAAACAAGTTTAGGAAACCATTGGCCAAGAAAATGTTTTCATAATATAATATTAAACAATTAGCGTGGATCTAGCTTTCTAAAAGTATTTTTAAATCTCACAACACAAATAACCACAAATCATTGCTGAGCCATCTGAATGAACACTGTGGAGGCAGTGTACTGTTATAGAAGATGCATGAATGGTAAAAAATGTCACACATTTCATTATGACAAAGGAGCTAGGAAGCAAAACTTTATAATATTTCTTAAAGTGCCATTTTTGTTTGTAGCATCATACTGATGGTTCCAATTCCAATTATGATTTAAGCTTTGGAAGTTTTGTAGACAGTTTTATCAGTTGTGATTCAAACAGTAGAATTCTGCATTTTCAACTTAATAAGGATAAAGATTTGCTGTGCTCTTCAATCAAAAGTTAATTTATAATCATAATTTATCTTAATGTTTTCGGATGTAAATTACGGTATTGCATTTAATTTTAATAAGCTATGTATTCTATAAATCATTGATGGACTCACAATTTTAATTTTTGCACACAGGAAAGCATGACATTCCATTGTTTCATTTGTTGTATTTCTAGCAATGAAGGCAAAGACATGATCATGGTTTTTGTCTGCTGTACAGAATGAAATCCTGAAAGAATATGTTTTTAAAAAGCCATATAAAAATAATGATTTTATGTCACTCTTCAGTAATTTCTGATTTCTCAATTCCCTAAGTTAATAGTACATCAGTGCTACATTTTATATTAGTGCTACATTTTATATTAGTGCTACATTTTATATTCCTTTCACAAAAACCATACAATTTAAACAATTTCATTTTAATATTTATATATTTTTTTAAATTTATCTTTTTAATTTTTAATCAACATTAATTAATACTAGAAAATTATGCTGACATTCATAAGTTAAAATTGTAAGCGCTGCAGCAGATTACTAGTGGGACAAAACAAACTTAATGCTTTCTTGATTGGCTTAAAAATTCAGTCTAGCTAGAGAAGAAACCAGTACACCTTTATACCAATACTAGCCTACCTGTAGATGGATATATCAAACATAACTTGACTGGTTGTCATGTCCACACTCCTTATACCTTTTGGTGACACAGTCAAAGCAGCCTTTCTCAATTTCTTTCCAGCTGCTTTGGCCTGTAGGGATGCAACAGCAATTTTAATCAAAATCATAACTAGCCATGATTTTACTTTTTTAGTTTGTGTTATATTTAATTATAAAATGATAGATACATAGCATGACACACTAAGATTTAAATTTCAGACAAACACAGTGAGTGAAATCAAGCAAGCCTCCCTTAACCTGTGGGATAGTTAGTGTCTTGTCATTGCAAGCCCTGCCCAACCTGTAGGATATTCAGTGTCTTGTGAGTGCCTCAGTAAAAATCTAAGAAAGCCACACCTTAAAGGATCAATGCAGTAAAACCCTGTAGATGGAATTGCTTCAAAACTACTGACTGACAGGGTCTTCTGGTGCTATGTTTTCCCTAAACTTTTGATACTCCTAAAAATATCACCTTGAACTAACCAAAATGACAAATGTGACAGCAAATAAGAGAACCCATAATCTTGATATACCTTTGATTCCCAAGATTCGTGTTTCTAGCCATGGATTCATCTTGGCATTAGAGATATTCTTATTGTTAAGTAGCCAATTATTGAAATAGTGCAGGTATTAGTTTGGAGGATAATAAAAGCCAATTCTGACATTCTGCTTTGAGATACAAGAAATAACATAAAATATGTTTTACCATAGCCGTTATGGTTTGGACTGCCTTTGCACTAATACCATCTCCATATGTCTGGTCAGATTCAATTTCCTCCACAAGAGTTGAGCCAATGTATTTTAAATAAAAAGTAACACCTTCAGCTACAGGCTCTTTATTTTCCCCCCATCCTTCGGGCATTTCTAGAGAATTAGAAAATAATAAAAAAGATTTATCAAACTTAATTATTGAATAATATTTAACAAATGCAATATATTTTGAAATTCATTTTTGAAACCAAGATCACTAATAAAATATGCATATAGGTGACAATAATGGTAAATTAAATTTTACAAAAAATGCAGATGTTACTAGAAGCATACAATTATGTGTATACATGAAAAAAAAAAAGGAGTGGGGTGAAATTTTTTGATACATAATGTAATGCAAATGCAGACCTCAAACTATTCAATCTTTCTACTGAAACTTGAAGGTATTATGAGTTATGAGCCATTTTGATGTGTAACCATTATCAAGATAGATTACAATGATTTACAATCATGCTACAGTAAAAATTGTAATAAGTACACTTTATAGTGCAAGTGCATTACATAGCACTTGAAATATTTAAAATAAAATCTATGTTGAGGTGTTTTCTACTTGACACTCCTGAATGATTTTTGGCACAAATATTACAAATTGATTATGACTGCAGTAGAGCGTTGATTTTCTAAACTCAAAATTATCTGCAATGTTGGTTATCCGAAATAGCCAGTTTTAAAAAAATGTTATTATTCAATTATTGTGCTCATTGACATATAAAGATTGAAAACAATTTTGATTTCTGTCGCACAGGCCAGGTAAAATCTATATACCTACTGTGCAAACTTTTAAATTTATATATATTGCAGAACACACGCTTGCAAAGATAACATGTCCTAAGCACCCGCTATAGATTTTTGGATATGTCTTCTTTTAGCAGAGAGAAAATTCCAGTCCCCACTATTTTTTTAAAATCAATCCACTGATTGAACTGTCCTAATGCTGGCATCCGTCCGTCACAATGTGACGATGGAGTGGGCTTCGGAGGACGAAATCCACATGGCCTGGGATTATTCTTCAAGGATTATAAGCTGGTTCCCAACAGCAAATCGCCTCTCTCCACGCCGCTGGACAACCCAAGGGAACATCATTGGATGATGCAGCTTGGCACCAGTGACGTCGCAGGAGTTGTCGGAATGTTTCATTGTATCAATGTTATCCGCCTTTCGGGACTCCATCTCCGGGTTTAATTTCAGAGTTTCCTTTTCTTAGATGAATTGCCATCCAAGGTTAATGAGTCCCATCTACCCGGGGTGCTGGGTGGCCGAGTGGTCTAAACTGAGCTGTCCTAATATATAATGCAAAATGGATAATACACTATACTTCACAGCCAATTGAGGGCCCATGATCAATTTATTGATCATTTTGCTCCTGGTTTGAATTCAGAGTTTGCCTTCTGTTAGATGAGTTGCCGTCCAAGGCTAACGAGTCACATCCACACAGGGTGCATGGGATATTTTTGCTTGTATTGGCTTTGGTGGGGATTGAACTCCAGACCACCGGCTATTTGGATTGAGACTGTTTAGACCGCTCGGCCGCCCAGCACCCGTATAAGGTACTGATGTTTTGCATTCTAATTCTATGCACTAACTTCTTTAATGCAACCTTTCCGTGGGTGTGTTTTGTTATCAGAAATAAAAGGCATCCAAACAACTTCCAGTCTTAATTAGTTAGGATGCAAATCTACTGCAGGCCTATGTATGCATTTAAAATCAAAATATTTTTCTACATCTCAAGCAAAATACTTCACTTCAGTATTGAGTAATATTAGAGTAATAGAAATTGTTAAGAAAAATTGCATTTCAAGATTCTCCCCATAGCCTAAGTATTGGGGAAGGATAGTAAAATATTTCAATCTGTTTTTAAAGGAAACAAATTCAAATGACATTGATATCAACATTAATATTAAAAAAAAAAAAGAAAAGTTAACCCTAGTACACTAGCAACTATCCAAAAATAAACAAAAGGGAGAGAATCCTACACTAAACATTAAACTCAAACTCAAAGTGGCAGCCAACAAACACACATTAGCCATTAGCTAAGTTAGCCCTCTCATCTAATTAAACAGTGCCAAATAATACTTAATTACTTAATTATCATAGAGGGCATAAAATTATGCTGGCTTTATTATTAAAAAAAATAGGTAAAGTTAAAGCAACCAATTTTAACTTTGACTTTTACTTTTAACTAGTTCACATTCACTGGTCCAATAAATTATTTATATAAAAAATATAATTTACTAGTCTAATAAAATAATACTAATACTAATACATTATTATTTTTTAAAATTAAAAATAAAAGTTGAGCACTATACTCTGACTCTAGTATAGTCATAGTAAATCAAGTGTCCACCACATCTGGTATAGTATTCCATCTAGCCAAATCAGTCTCTTTAAAAATTAAAATCATAAATCAAAATGACTCACCACAATCACAAAACTAAACCAAAAATTGAATAATAAAAAAAAAAAGCAACAATCGACAACAATGATTGGCATAATGTAAGAAATTAAATCATTAAACTATTTATTAAGAACATAAACATTAATTTATAAAATGATATTTAATTGGAATACATTAACATATCACTTCTTCTTACTGGAATGCTTGTATTTTCCTTGATCCTTTAAAACGACAGGAGGTTTTCTGACAACGCGAAGCAAGGCGTCCATTTTGGATTCCATAACAGAGTCAGGAGAGTAGAGTGATTTGATCTTTTGCGTCTTCTTGACCTATATTTACTATTCTATTTTACATGTTGCCTACTTATTTTAAGAGATAACTTTGGATATACATTTTTAATGACATAATATTTTTTTATTACGGATATTATAAATAAAGGTGTGTTCGTGTGTGAGAAACTATTTGCTTCTTTCCTAAATCAATCTCGGAAAGAGTACATTACTAACACTGTTTCCCTTAAATTAAAGAATTGATTCGAGGGGCCTTAGGTGTTCTGTTTTGTTTTGTTTTTTTGGGAAGGGGGGGGGGGGGGCGAGGAGTGCATTTAACACTAAAAGTAAGCATAATGGCAACCAACACTAACTCTGAATCCAGCAGCGACGCCCTACATGTTTTTCGACCCCGGATTCTATAAAGACAAATACAGTCACCTATTTTACAAAATGAAATAAAAATAATATGTTTGTCAGTGAAGAAAATTATAATATTAACCAGAGGCGTAGCTAGGGTTGGTGTCACCCGATGCGGTATATGCCTACTCATGATGTCACCACCCCCTCCCCTGGATGGCTTTCTTCTTGTTAAGGAAAAAACAAATTAGATCTAATTGAAGGTCGGGGGGGGGGGGGTAAATGTTTTCGGAGAACTTTAACAATGTTAAGTTATGGTTATTTTTAATTTAATTTTATTTCATTTAAAATTTTCCAAAAACAAATTAGATCTAATTGAAGGTCGGGGGGGGGGGGGAAAATGTTTTCAGAGAACTGTAAAAATGTTAGGTTATAGTTATTTTTACATTAAATTTATTTCATTTAAAACTTTCCTTTCCTGGCAACCTGTCAATCGTGCTCAAAATTTAAGGGGCGCTGCTTGTGACAAATCGGCGAAAATATTAATTTTTGAGTATTTCTCTGTTTCGATAAATTTGGTTTCAAAAACATTCTTAAAAAATTAAATACATTTAATTCTTTGATAAGATATTATAAAATGTTGTAAAATATTATTTTGTCAACCCTATTAATTGTTAAAAAGTAAAAATTCATTTTTAAATGTTTTTAATTTGACCGATTCGATAGGTGCCGTGTACTTAGACCTTAGAATCGACCAATCACATCGTATGTGGTATTCTACGGGAAGCTTTATTTCTAAGAATTGTGATAAATATAACTTCCTTTCTCTTAAGACTTACGACCTAATTATAGGGCTACCTTATTTCTGGCACATCAACCTTGAACTTTTAATGTATCGCTCATTTGGATTGGTTATGTGTAGAAAATTTGCGTGTGATCCGTTATCCTTTTATGAAATTCGGTTAGTTCGAGCAGTGTGTTCTATTTAAATATGCAATTTTCTTAAATTTGATTTCACCCCCCTGAGATGGTGTCACCCGGCACGGTCCGCACCCCCCGTGCCGGGTGACACCAGACCGAAAATGATCTGGCACTGGTACATTCCTGAGAGAAACATCTGATAAAATATTACAGTTTTCTTGTTAACCATCAAATTTATTTACAGTATCTTGGTTTGAAACAACATTATTAGGACCCATTTCCGTTTCCAAACCAGCCACGTCTTTTACTTGTATTTCCACGCCAATCTCTTCCATTGTCTGCACTACCGGTTTTGGCTATTCCATAGAATGCATGCTGCTAAAATTGGAGGAATCAATATCAATGGTTGGCCGAGGAACGTCTTTTGATGAATCCTGGTCATCATTTGGTTTCTTGCCATATCGAAGCATCAGTGCTTTTTTTGTAAAAAAAATAGGTGCCGGTACTCAGTGATGGATTGCCTAACTTAACTACCAGTTCACACCTCGATGCAAGCTAAATCACAACCGCAAAGATGCAATTTTAAAATAATTCAATTTTAAAAAATTAATAAGATAATAAAATAATAATAAACGTTAAAATACAAGAAAAGTACTAATTTTTCCCCACATTGAAAAAGGTGCCGGTACGCCGTACCGGTGCGTACCGTAACAAAAAAAGTACTTATGCTAATAGTGATTTTAGTGAGTCACATCATTTTATTTTTTGCTATTTGCTGCTGACAGCCACTAGGCCATTTAAATTTGTACACGCCGTGTGGCATGATAGAATAATAGTGAACAATAAAATGCTATAATTGCGTCGTGTTAGGACAGTTTAAAAAAAAAACCAACAGAGCACTATACAAAATGCAACACAAATAGGTGGCAGATAAAAACCAGGAATCGAAAAATTACAATCATGCTAAAATATTAAGGGGCAATCCTGGTGACGAATATAGCGAACATATTAATTTTGGACTATTTCTGGGTTTCGATATAGGGAGAGTGGGGAGAAATGGGGCCACCCATTGAACATCTGTCAAAGAATGTAGCTGGTGTTAGCAAAGAAAAAGTTCTAACCATAAAACTTGGCTTATTGATAGCCAGTCCAAATGTGCACTTGAACACTTAATGTGTATTTACATAAATGTGATCGTTTGTGTACAATTTAAAAAAAAAACCCTGATCACTATGTAAATGAGGAGAACTGGACATAGCGACACCATGTTGGGAGAAATGGTCACTTAACTAAAAAAGGGGTTAAAAAAAATCATATCTTTACCTTTTTCTAATAATTTTCTCGCTGTTGTGTTGTAATACACCATACAATATGTAATGCAATAAGTTAATAAGATAATAAGCAAAACCATTTGACCTTTTAAGTATATTTATTGATTTTTTTAACATAACGATGTAGACAAAATGTAATTTGAGCAAAACAAAGAAACAGATTTATTTAACATTTAAAGGACTTAGGTTGTCGAGTTTTCTTTAAAAAATTTTTTTTAGTCCTGGCTGTAACAATATTTTGTAAGTTGGCATTTTAGGCACACGTGTGGTCTTATAAAATTTCCACTCAATTTCTCACTTTTTCATAAAAATTCTACACCTCCATCTTCATCCACTTCCTTCCTCACAACAACAAAATAAAATAACACATACTTTTTTTTTAACACTATATACTCACACGGCACACAGTTATCTTTCATAACTTCTTCAACACCATTCATTTTAACACAATTAGTTGTCAAGTCTTTACAGTCTGAAATAAAGTCATCTAAACCATCATTACTTATTAGGTCAAAGTCCATGTCAGAGTCACTATCGTCACATTCTAATAATTGTTTTGCCTGTAATCTTAAAAGACGTGCTATCTTTTTGTCTTTATTCGGCTTATCTTGAACCTTTTTTTTTCTTTCTTCAAATTCAAGGGATGATGTGGCATTCAATGATTTTCTTTTCTTTCTAGTATTATTTATAATGGGTTCTGCTGTAGGGTAGCCTCGAAAAATCTCAGGTGACCTAAACACTGATGGGTAGGAGTGTTAAGACTGATTTAGTTGCAAGGGAGAGGATGATGTAGCTGGTCTATCTAGAGACAGTGTTTTAGCTGAATGGATCTGGGCTGTCTGTTACAGCGCAAGGCTTAACGTCTATATCTGTGTAAATGTCTTTATTAAGAGGCCAAATTCTACTGGCTAGGAAACCAGACACTATATTTGGTCAATTGTGATTGGTTTGCCTACGTTCCTAAGCATCAACGAATCAGCTGAAGCGTTGAATGCACTTTTTAATGGTCCAAAAACTGATCTGTCCAGTGGCTGTGTTTTATACGAGGTGTGTGGCGGCAATATGAATAAAGTTCTCTTTAGCAAGTACCAATGCCCCATAGGATAGGTGGCCATCTCATAGGCTAATAGATTTACATTGGCTATTGTCAGCCCATGAAACATTTTTGAACATGTTTAATAATAATAATAATAACAATAAAGATTATTTGAAAATCACGCTTCGTCCCCAAAGGCTCGAAACGTGGTACATGCCACATTGAAGTACAAAATGCAACATTACAAAAACTACATACGAGAATACCCATTTTAAGTCTTTCATACCTTGCAACCATAAACAACACAGGCCAAAACATATCTACAAGATTATAGCTATATAGACAACATTACCTCAGCAGGTGTTTGCGAAATCTTAATAGATAAGTCTTCAAATCAGTTTTGAAAGACTCCAGTGTCTGGCTGTTTCTGAGAGCGACAGGAAGATTGTTCCAAATTGGTGGGCCAGCAAATGCGAAAGTGCGCCCCTCGTAAGTCTCAAGGCGAACTAATTTGTGCGTGGTATTCCGATTTGCATTTCTCTCATAACTTCCAAGGGTAGTTGACCCTTATCTCTTTTTCTTGTGTAGTTTCTAGGCATGATTTTGCACCAAAAAAAAAAATAATAAAATAATAAAATTAATAAAACTGGAAGCTTTAATTCTCATCCCATGGGAAATTTAAAAAAAAAATGTTTTCTAAAACAAAAGCTTTAAACTTTAAAAAAATATATATGATTTAATTTCTACATAGTTATATATCGTTTAGAACAAATATTTTCGAAAATTACGTTTTGCTACAATAAATCATGATAAATCTTTATTTAAAGTTAATTAACTATCAACGTGCTTACTATATAAATACGTTTTAATTACTTAAAGAAGATGTGGTAATGAAGCATAAAAAAAATTAACAGTGGAGAGAAATGGACATATAAGTCCATTTCTCGACATTTTTTTGCCCGTTTCAACCCGTTTTTTTTTGCCCGTCATAGTGAAACCTCGTCCATTTTCAAAAAGTCCCTTAAAACTCATCTGTTTAGGTCCGCCTATGACCTGTGATGCACCCTCCTCGCCCTACCTCATTTTCTGTTTCGGGTTGATCCTGAAGTGTCAAAGTGTCCTCGTTTTATAGCCATTTTCATTGTTTCTTTAGTATATTAGTTACTATCCTAGTGTCTCATTGTATTTACTTAGTTTACATGTTTTAATAATTGTAAAGCGCTTAGAGCTTTATGATAAGCGCTATATAAAAATGCCTAAATAAATAAATAAATAAACCCACTTGGGGGGGGGGGTTGATGCAGATTTTTAAAAAAAATTAAGTTTTGTGATGTAAATGATTAAATGGAATATGAAATACCATAACTAACTAA